GTGTTTCCTAATATCCAACCTAGACCTCCCCCACTGCAACTTGAGACCATTGCTCCTTGTTCTGTCATCTGCCACCACTGAGAACAGTCTAGATTCATCCTCTGTGGAACCCCCCTTCAGGTAGTTGAAAGCAGCTATCAAATCCCCCCTCACTCTTCTCTTCTGTAGACTAAATAACCCCAGTTCCCTCAGCCTCTCCTCATAAGTCATGTGCCCCAGCCCCCATAATCATTTTCGTTGCCCTCTGCTGGACTCTCTCCAATTTGTCCACATCCCTTCTGTAGTTGGGGCCCCAAAGCTGGACCCAATACTCCAGGTGTGGCCTCACCAGTGCCGAGTGGAGGGGAATTATCACTTCCCTAGATCTGCTGGCAGTGCTCCTTCTTATGCAGCCCAATATGCCATTAGCCTTCTTGGCAACAAGGGCACACTGCTGACTCATATCCAGCTTCTCGTCCACTGTAATCCCCAGGTCCTTTTCTGCAGAACTGCTGCTTAGCCAGTCGGTCCCAAGCCTGTAGCAGTGCATGGGATTCTTCCGTCCTAAGTGCAGGACTCTGCACTTGTCCTTGTTGAACCTCATCAGATTTCTTTTGGCCCAATCCTCCAATTTGTCTAGGTCACTCTGGACCCTATCCCTACCCTCCAGCTTATCTACCTCTCCCCCCAGTTTAGTGTCATCCACGAACTTGCTGAGGGTGCAATTAATCCCATCATCCAGACATGAAGATGTTGAACAAAACCGGCCCCAGGACTGACCCCTGGGGCACTCCACTTGATACCGGCTGCCAACTAGACATCGAGCCATTGATCACTACCTGTTGAGCCCGACGATCTAGCCAGCTTTCTATCCACCTTGTAGTCCATTCATCCAGCCCATACTTCTTTAACTAGCTGGCAAGAATACTGTGGGAGACCGTATCAAAAGCTTTGCTAAAGTCAAGATGTATCACATCCACCGTTTTCCCCATCTCCACAGTGCCAGTTATCTCCTCATAGAAGGCAATCAGGTTGGTCAGGCATGACTTGCCCCTGGTGAATCCATGTTGACTGTTCGTGATCTCCTTCCTCTCCTCCAAGTGCTTCAAAATGGATTCCTTGAGGACCTGCTCCATGATTTTGCCAGGGACTGCAATGAGGCTGACCGGTCTGTCATTCCCCCGGTTCTCTTTCTTCCCTTTTTTAAAGATGGGCACTACATTTGCTTTTTTCCAGTCATCCGGGACCTCCCCTGATTGCCACGAATTTTCAAAGATAATGGCCAATGGCTCTGCAATCACATCAGCCAACTCCCTCAGCACCCTCGGATACACTAGATCTGGACCCATGGACTAGTGCATGTCCAGCTTTTCTAAATAGTCCTTAACTTGTTCTTTCACCACTGAGGGCTGCTCACCTCCTCCCCATACTGTGCTGCCCAGTGCAGCAGGGTGGGAGCTGACCTCGTCAGTGAAGACCAAGGCCAAAAAAAGCGTTGAGTACTTCAGTTTTTTCCACATCATCTGTCACTATGTTGCCTCCACCATTCAGTAAGGGGCCCCCACTTTCTCTGAGCTTCTTCTTGTTGCTAACATACCTGTAGAAACCCTTTTTGTTACCCTTCACATCCCTTGCTAGCTGCAAGTCCAGTTGTGCCTTGGGCTTCCTGATTACACCCCTGCAAGCTCTAGCAATATTTTTATACTCCTCCCTAGTCATCTGTCCAAATTTCCGCTTCTCGTAAGCTTCCTGTTTGAGTTTAAGCTCACCGAAGATTTCACTGTTAAGCCAAGCTGGTCGTCTGCCATATTTGCTATTCTTTCTGCACTTCGGGATGGTTTGTTCCTGTGCCCTCAGAAAGGCTTCTTTAAAATACAGCCAGCTCTCCTGGACTCCTTTCCCCTCATATTAGCCGCCCAGGGGCTCCTGCCCATCAGTTCCCTAAGGGAGTCTAAGGCTAGGTCTACACTACCCGCCTGAATCGGCGGGTAGAAATCGACCTCTTGGGGATCGATTTATCGCGTCCCGTCGGGACGCGACAATCGATCCCCGAATCGACGCTCTTACTCCACCAGCGGAGGTGGGAGTAAGCGCCGCCGACAGAAAGCCGCAGAAGTCGATTTTGCCGCCGTCCTCACAGCGGGGTAAGTCGGCTGCGATACGTCGAATTCAGCTACGCTATTCACGTAGCTGAATTTGCGTATCTTAAATCGACTCCCCCCTGTAGTGTAGATGTACCCTAAGTCTGCTTTTCTGAAGTACAGGGTCCATATTTTGCTACTCTCCTTTCTTCCTTTTGTGAGGATCCTGAACTCAACCATCTCATGGTCACTGCTGCCTAGGTTGCCACCCACTTCTACTTCCCCTACCAATTCCTCCCTGTTTGTAAGCAGCAAGTCAAGAGGAGCATGGCCCCTAGTTGGTTCCTCCAGCCCTTGTACCAGGAATTTGTCCCCAACACTCTCCAAAAACTTCCTGGATTGTCTGTGCACTGCTGGAATGCTCTCCCAGCAGATGTCAGGGTCATTGAAGTCCCCCATTAGAACCAGGGGCCTGTGATCTGGAAACTTCAGTTAGTTGTCCGAAGAAAGCCTCGTCTACCTCAACCTTCTGATCCAGTGGTCTATAGCACACGCCCACCACAACATCACCCTTGTCGCTCTTGCCTCTAAACCAGGGGTCGGCAACGTTCGGCACGCGGCTCACCAAGGTAAGCACCCTAGTGGGCCGGGCCAGTTTATTTTCCTGCTGACGCAGCAGGTTCGGCCGATCGCGGCCCCCATTCGCCGCGGTTCGCCGTCCCAGGCCAATGGGGGCGGCAGGAAGCGGCGTGGGCCGAGGGATGTGCTGGGCGTGGCTTCCCAGTGGGGGCCGCGATCGGCCAAACCTGCCGCATCAGCAGGTAAATAAACTGGCCCGGCCCGCTAGGGTGCTTACCCTGGCGAGCTGCGTGCCAAATGTTGCCGACCCCTGGTCTAAACTTAACCCAAAGACTCTTAACAGGATTTTCTCTAGTTTCAAACTGGAGCTCTGAACACTCATAGTGTTCTCTTACATACAATGTAACTCCTCCATCTTTCCTCCCATACCAGTCCTTGAATAGTTTATACCCATCCATGACAGCGCTCCAGTCATGTGAACTGCCCCACCAAGTTTCTGTTATTCAAGTCACATCATAAGTTCTTTGACTGTGCCAGGACTTCCAATTCTTCCTGCTTGTTTCCCAGGCTTCTTGCGTTTGTGTACATGCACCTAAGATAACTATCCAAGACTCATACCTAGACCCATAGCCCATGGAATAGTCTCCTAAAGGAAATGATGAAATTCCTTCCTCCAACCCCAGCTGTGCAGGACGTTTTGGGGCAAAACACTGGCAAATGATCTGAGGAGAGCAATCCAGAACCAGGGCAAGTACTCAGAGTGCGGGATGGCTGGGTTCGCTGACCAGAAATTGGAGACAATAAGGCCTACGAATGATCTGACTCCTCGCAGCTCTGACGTCACCCAGTTTTGGCCTAGAATTTTCGCCATATTCGCAATCTGTATTCGGTGGGGTGTTTTCGTAGGGTGTTAAAACCTGGGCCCTCATCCCGGAGCTTTTCCATTAAGTCGAAAGTGAAATGAAACACGTGCGGGCTCCTGCTGTCCAGGGGAAAGCATTGAAACGTGGCACTTGGGACACGTGCCCCAAGGCTGTTGCTGGGAAGAGGAAGACTGGGCTGCTTTTGGCCATCACCCTGGAACCGGGTGCAATCTCTAATTGGTAATGTCACCAAGCATGAGCTAACGGGCAGCCAAGTTCTAAAAGCACCACACGGGCAATTTTCAGACCTAGTGCCGAGCAGCTGGAAACGCTGCAGAATAATGGCAGGGGAAGCTTTGACACAACACAGGCTTTGGCTTCAAGCACAAGCTCTTGGAAAGGCGCAGAAGAAAACACGCTGATGCAAAGTACACCATGGCAGCTAGACATCGCCCCAGCCTGGCCAGGCTGGGTGTATGTCTCTGAGCCTGCAGGCAGGGTTGTTTGAGAACAGCCGGGAGGTGCTGTGGAGGGTTTGAAGGGATGTCAGGTCTGCAGCTGTGCGCTCTGTAACGGGAGAAACCGTTTCGATGCTGGAAGCAGCGCTTGGCTTGGGATCTTATTCTGGAGTGGGGTTTTTTATGTCCCTTCTGATGCACGGCCATGTGGCACTGAAGGGAGGCCATGTGAGCTAGTGCAGGGGCTCTCGACCTTTCCAGACCACCGTACTCCTTTCAGGGGGCTGATTTGTCTTGTGTACCCCAAGTTTTACCTCACTTAAAAATGACGTGATTCCAAAATCAGACATAAAAATACAGAAGTGTCACAGCAGAATGTACTGACAAATCGCTGACTTTCTCCTTGTTACCATATCAGGCAAAAATAAATCCATTGGAATTGTACTTACATGTCAGTGTATAGTCTATAGAGCAGTAGAAACAAGCCATTGTCTGTATGACAGTTTAGTCTGAACTGACTTCGCTAGTGCTTTTTATATCGCCTGTTGACAAACTAGGCAAATCTCTAGATGAGCTGATGTACCCCCCAGCAGTACACACAGCCCTGGCTGAGAACCAGCGTGCTAGTGGATAGAGCGCTGTCCTGGGATTCAGGAGACCAGGGTTATATTCCCGGCTCTGCCACTGGCCTGCTGAGAGACCTTGGGCAAGTCTCTGGGCCTCAGTTTCCCCCTCTGTGAAACAGGGATAAGTTGCCCTCCTTTATAAAGAGCTTTGAGATCTGCTGATGACGAGGGCTAGGTAAGAGCTAGGTGGTGTTGCTGTTACTGCTATTTTATTATTATTCAACAGCAAATGTATACACAGGTGTATGTGCGTGTGCCATTAAAAAGCAGTTGCATCAGTAGGAACGTCCGGGAGTGATTTGTCACTTTCTCCTGGGATCGCTCCCCCTGAATTCAGCTTTCCCCCGCCTCTCGCCTCCTCTTTTCCCTGCTTCTGCAGCACTGCGCTCTTCTGACTGTGGCGCTTGCTCGTAGGTCCAGCCCGCCCCGTCTGAGAATGACGAGGACAGAAGCATTACTTGCGTGGATGAAGGGCTAGAGGAGTTCTTTACGAAGAAGCTGATCCAAGAGGAACCGCCGTAAGTAAACGAAGTGTATTCAGTACTGTCGCTGCTACTGTGCCGCTTCCCACTGTCAGCTCTCTGGCAACGCCAGCCCTGCCTTCTGGGCCTCCGCGGGCCTCGCTGTCTGTGTACAGGCCGTGATACACACGTACCAACCCACGAGGCCTCAGCCTCCAGTCCTCCAGTCCCTGATCCACTGACCACACACAGAATCACCTGCTGTTCCAATAGTTACGCCTTAGAACACAGCTCTGCTAAACATAAGGTGGCCACGCGCATGTTCCCAGAACACTGGAGAATTGGGGTCACGGAGGGGGCAAAGCGGCGTGCTCTTATAAAGGGCATCCTCTGTCCGCTACCAGACAAAGCCACATCTGGTTTGTCCCAGTACCAGACGGGGGAAAAACCACCCCAACACAGGTCTGTCCAGGCCAAAACTGGACGAGGGACCTCCTTAGCTAAACACACAGCTCTTTGATCTAGTTATAGTGAAAACAAGAGGAAGGGCGAGCCTGGGGAAGAGGCGGGGATTCGGGGAGGGAGCCAATGGGGGAAGGAGGGGCGGAGTCGAGCGGGGACGGGACGGGACGGGACGCGACGCGAGCACTTCCGGGCTCCGGAGTATTTGCTTGTTTGTCCAGTGTCCCGACCTAACGTTGGTCGGGACGTGGGACAAACAAGGAAATATCGGGTCAGTCCCGATAAAATCGGGATGTCTGGTCACCCTAATTCCAGGGTGTCCTCTTTGCCCCCCCAAAATAGGCCAAAACAAGCCTTTGATATTTACATCAATACAGGGTTCCTCTCCCCCATCCTGCCCCACTGTCGATCTCTTCCTGCTACTTTCCTTATAAAGTCCCCTCTGCTCTTTATTAGCTTAGAATGCCAGTGGCTGCTCCTTGTGAACCAGACACTGCTCAATTTACATGTAAACAGATAGATGGACAAACAGCTCTTGTCTGACAGCAAACCGGCTTTTCACCTTTGCCAGTGACCAGTCCCTAGATGCAAGCTGTAAGAATGGAATTGTCAGTATCTATACACAACTCCTTACACGACAGCTGTATGTGCATTTCACAACAGTATTGATGACTTGTGTGACCCTGGCTTTCAGAGCCCTCACGTGGCATTCTCTGAACTAGAATGCGCATACCAAGCCCAGGGGATTCCTGTAACCCTTAGGCCACGTGCCAGTTAGCATCAAGAGGTGCCTGGCTTACAAGCTAGTGAAGCATAAACTGGGGAATCGTCCTCAGTCATTTCTTGGGGTAACATTACCTTGCATGGTTTGAAATTCAGGTCACTACTAATTAATAGTCATTAATGCTTTTAAACACTGTTCCTCTAGGACTCTGAGTGGACATATTAGCAAATTCTCACAACACAACACCTGTGTCGAGTGTAGGATGTTATAGGGATCATTTCACCCACTGCAGAAATGCACTCATGTCTTGGGTGCAACACACAACTGTTTAACAGCACACAGCAACGGTACACAGCAGTTTTGATCAGGGACTGAATAAGAATCTGGTTCAGATCTTTAGCTGGTCTGATTTCAGTGGTGTTCTACCATCTGATGCCAGCTGAGGACCTGGCCCACCAAGTCCAACTGAAAGTGCAAGGGGGCATTTAGGATGTCAGAATGCAATTCCCTGAACTGGGATGAGCCCAGGACACTGGGGTTCACACCATTAGACTTAACAATGACTGTAGTGGGCTCTGCAGCTAGTCGGCATCTCCCTTTGGGGTCCCGGGCAGAAGTGAGGCGAGGTCGGCTGATTCACCAGGCTGGGCGCTGGGATTTGAAACTAGCTCTTCCAAGCCCGTGGCCCGTTGGGAGGAAATCAGTGTACAAGGGCAGAGTGAGTGACTGCAGTCAGTTGGGACCTGGAAGCCCAAAACGTCTGGGTCGTCCTCCCAGACTCGCTGTGTGTCCTCGGGCAGCTCACTCCCGGCATCCATTTCCACCTCCACAACGGGGCTGCCAGGCTCTGGGGCTGAGCTGGCAGGAAGCACTGAGCAGCGCTAGGGGCACACCTTCGAAACCAGCAGCATGGCCTGTGCAGGGCTTAGCTCAGGTGTGTTCGCAAACAAAACTCTGCCCCCTCTTCCTCCCCCCGCACATAGGAGGAGTCAAAATTGAGCCGGATTTTCTCTCCTTTCTTATCCTTCTCCAGTCTCTTTTTTCCTCATTGACGCTCGCTCTGTCACCCCTCCCGCAAGCAGCCTGCCGCTGAGCAGGACTCTCTTCCCTGCCGTTGTGTTGATTTGTATTTCCCTGCAGCTTGTCACTTGGGCTTTCCACCCAGCTAGCGGTAGTGAGCCCTGTTGATGCCCTGCCCCCCCCCCCGGTCTCTGTGTAAAACTCTACTCGGGCATCCTGCTTGCACGCCTGCCGCACCGGGAGCCGGAGGTGCTCCCTGATCGAGACAACCCCTGAACTTGGCAGAAGCCCGGCTCTGAAATGCACGACCCATTCGTAGTAAGGAGGAGAGCCGCACGCAGCCTGGCTGCCCAGGGGCTTTACCAGCCCTTGTAAGTAGCAGTAGTTAGGTTTTCAGCTGTTGTCCTGTCCCCATGCTGGGGGAAGAGAGCACCTGTCCACCAGGAGCTCAGTGTTACTGCAGGAAAGAGGGAATTTTAAAGGGCCTGGGCTGTACCTAGCAGACTGTGCAGAGGAAGGAGAGGAGGATGTCTTCTGAGATACGGGCACTCATCACAAACAGCGGCGCTGAAAGTGGCGGTGCCCGGAGGGAAGCTGGTGGTGTTCTTACAGAACCAGCTGTCGGTCCTTGCGCCCGAGGGTATGTAAAGACATGGTAGAACCCGCTTTCCAGTCCTGTGTCTGCTACTAGCTGGAGTAAAGCTGGCATGGTGCGACCACCTCGGCCTACCTCCACGTGCCGCCTAGACACACTCTTATTTACTGATGGCCTCTAGGGGGCGTGGCCATCTCTACACTCTTGGACCCTGTCAGCCATGGAGGAAAATTGCCATCACGCCTGCCCAAGTGGGAGGCCTTGGGAAGTCCACTCCGTGCTCCCAGCCAGGAGAGGAGGATACCGCTGAGCGTGCGTCCCAGGGCAGGTTGAGCCAGGACGCTGGGGCTGTCACTGGTGCAGCCTGGATCTCCACCCAGGGCTGCTACAGTCAGTTACGGCTCCTGGTTCTCCACTTCCCTCTGCCCCCGCCTTGATTGAAAGCTGTCCTGTAACCTGGCAGCACCTATGGCGTAGGTGAGCTGCTGCACCTCGCAGGAGGCCGGGGGAGGGAACGGTGGTGTCAGGATTGCTAATCCCTGCCTCAGGCCGGGCCTGGGAAGCAGCAGCCAGGGTGGTTCTGGGACTAGCCACGCCTCTCGAAGCCGCCTGACCTACTGGGGATGAAACACCTTCATTTACCTCAGTTACTGAATTGCTTGGGCAGAAATCCTGGCTGATTAGTGTGAGACTGTGGCGCGGTGGGGCCCCGGGGAGCGGCTGAGGGCCGGGCTGGGGCAAGGTTAGCACAGGAGCTGAGCGCAGGACCCCGGCCTGGCTAGCTACAGTCCAGAGTGAGAGGCGGCTGCACCTCTATGGCCGAAGCTCCCGGAGGGGAGACGGTGAAATGTGCAGCCAAGTGTGTCTGCAATGCATCTCCCAGGTGGGGATCCTGCCGTGCCAACCCCCATCTCCCAGCCCCTTCCCAGAGCCTCCCATCCTGCTGCCTGCTGGGCACCCTGCGAGGGCGAGGACGGGCTAGGCTGCGCTCCACCATGCCTCCCCCACTGGTTTTTCTAATCCCAGCAGTCAGGGGGAAGTTCAAAGATAAGGAAACAGCCAAGAGGCCACCGAGCCAACTGCCTTTCCAAGAGGATGGTATGTCCCCTCTGCCGTGGAGCCGTTCCTCTCCTGCCCCTTCCCTGGGGGCTGGCTCCCCAGGCTGCAGGCTCACAGCAGAGAGGGGCCTGGCGCAGTTCTTGGCATTGGGGGCACAGTGGTTCTTGTACCTGCTCTCAGTTCACGTCTCCGATCAGCACCTGTGCTAACTCTTTTCCTGGCTTCCTCTTCTTGCTCCAGCCCAGCCCCCCCGGGGGATCTCTCCTGGCTCAGCCCCCCTCGCGCCGTCTGGCACCCGGACTTTCAAAAAGAAAATAGGGAACTTCTTTGCATTGAAGAAGCCGAAGTCCAGCAGGGGCTGGAAGTGCGAGAAGGAGCCAGAGGGCAGGAAGTCCACGCGCAGTGACATTTCAAAGCCTCCCAGTAAGGCAGGGGAGCCTGGGAAGGCGCTGAGCAAATCCGAAGAGGGTGGGCTTGCCGTGGAGCCCAGGGCCAATGCAGAGCCCAGCCAGACCCCCGATGCCGCCCACAGGGTCAGGCCCAAGTACTCCCGAGAGGGCAAGTCACAGTCACTCATACTCCTGTGTGGCGAGGACGAAGAGGCCTTAGGAGTGAAACATGAAAAGGTAACAGCCCTCTTTCCCCACTGCTCCCTCCTAGCGCCGGGAGCCTGTGCTCCTGGCACTTGCCCCAGTTCAGGGGTGTCCTGAGTGTAGGGGCCCAGGTCATCCCGGCTGTAGCAGGTGCTTTGCTACAGTAACAGCGCAGCAGAGAGCGGGAATCTGGAAGCTCTGTGATGTGTGAGGTTTGTACCCCCCTGGCAGAGAGGAGACCGACCTGGGCTGCAGCGAATATAAAGGGGACTGTTCATGGAGGCCGGTTCTCTAGCTCTCAGACTGCCAGGCCCCCCAGGCTGGTGTCTCCAACCAGGGGCACCCTAAGAGTGATCCGGGGTTCGCAGGGATCCGTGGGACGACTCCCATTGACCCCAGGCTAGTTTGGATCAGGCCCCAAGTCCTGGCCTGACCTAGCCAGTCCTGGCTGGTGTCTGCACTGCAGATGGGCTCGGGCGTAGACATGGGGCTGACTCCCTGCTCCATTCCTGGGGAAGCGGACAGGGGACTTTGGGGGCACAGATGGCCCCAACCAATCCAGCACTGTGGGGTCTGTTGTTGTGGGCCCCTCCCTGCTCCTGCCCATGTCCCTGGTTGTTCCTGCCTGGGGGATGATTGGGGGAATTTGAGGCCTACCCCAGCGACAGAGGACCAGAAAGAGCCCGAAGCAGCCAAGGACTGGGACTAGCTGCTGTGATACAGCTGGGTGGGGGAACTGATCTTAGGCAAACGCGCCAGAGGGAGCGCCAAGGGGAGGGTGACCAGATGTCCCGGTTTTATAGGGACAGTCCCGATGTTTGGGGCTTTGTCTTATAGGCGTCAGTTACCCCCCACCCCCTGTCCTGATTTTTCACACTTGCTGTCTGGTCACCCTGTCCAAGGGGGGCTTGTCGCACAGCAGTGATGTACAAACACCGTGTCCCAAGCCAGACTCGCCTGGTGCCATCAGTTACTGCCATGGGGCAGGCGTGTCTCTTGGCAAACCTGCCCTCAGCCTGGGCAACGTGAGGGGAGGGATGGATCTTGCTTCACCCCCTGGGGTACGTTCCCCTCCCGTTGACCCTTGTACCTAGGTGGAAGGGGCTGAGTGTGATAAAGGGGCCTGGTTCTGGCTGGGGGAGGAACCCTGGAGCAGGCCTTGCAGAAGGCTGCTGTGGGGGGTAGGGGGCAAGGCACAAGGCCATGCAGCGGTCGGGGGCGGACATGGCACATGGGGCAGAGCCGCAGCATGCAGCACCATGGGGAACCCCGGCAGTGCTGCCACTCGCAGGACAGCCTGCCAAGATAGCAGTGCATAGCCAGGCCCCCCACGGCTCTGCCGTTCTGCAGCCCATAGCTGGGAGGGCTCAAAGGCGGCGGCTGCCCAGCACAACGGGGGTGGGGGGCCCTGGGGACTGTAAAGAGCCGCCTGAGCATGTCCCCGGGTTTGTCCCGTTTGCCCTTCAGAGGCGGCACTTGGAGAAGAGCGACGGGGAGATCCCCAGCTCCTTCGAGCAGCGCGTCCATGTGATGCTGCACCGGATCGGGGTCACCAAAGTCCTGTCGTCCGATGGGAAGAAGAAGCAGGTGAGAGGAGAGAGAGACACACACGTACCCTTACCCCACCCTTCGTCCTGCCCCACTAAGTGTTCCTCACCTACAGGTGAAGAGTCAGCATTGCAGGAAGGTGCTGCTCGGAACCCAGCCCCCCCCAGCCTTATTGCTGACCCCCCCCATTGACATGAGGGGAATGGGCCCCCAATAAGCAAAGAGCACCAGCATGCCGAAACCTTCCCATCCCACTGTTAGAATTAAACTACAGCCGACTGGCGACGTGCTCAGAGTACTGCAATGGCCTGGCATGTGTGAGAGTACACCGCTGCCTTCTACTGGATGCAATCGGAACAATAGCTGTGTGACATAGGCCCTCCACTGCCAACAGCTAGTGGTGATTCTCCTTAGCTGAGATGGCCGGCAAGCAGTGAGTTCTGTGCCATCTGTCATTGTGACATGGTCACATGCAGTGTAGGGGTAGCTGTTTGCTACAGCGTACTCTCTTCTCAGTGCACAAGCATAACCCGCCCATTCACCATTCGTGAAAACAAAAGTGTGGGGAAACTGAGGAAGGGATGTGCCAGCAGTGTGACAACTGCTCCAGCTGGCAAAATAGTGATCCTTTCTGGTCTGAGACCCTTCTGAGATGAGCCCGTTAACTGAGCAGGAAATCTCCCAGAGCATGGTGTGTTCCAGGCAGCCATGAACTCACTGCTTCAGATAGTAGGTTATTTGACAGAGCAGTTGCTCCATGGCAAACCCGTGGCATGTTAGCAGATGGGGATGTTGATACAGCAGAACTGTTTGTAGAACTGATACAGCAGCAGCTTTTGGGACCTCATCTAATGCAGAGAGTGGGTAAAGCGTTTGCCATGGAACGAATAATCCTGATGGCTGGTTGTGAGGCTTTGGGGGTTCACCCAGCCCAGTGAGGGGCTGCGTCACCACCTGCCCTGGAGCCCTGGGTATCTGCACGGGGAAGCTTTGGCTCAGAGCCCCACCACCAGCAGCATGCTCACAGCACAATGGTGTCACCTTGGCTTCCACCACCCTGGGCACTCTTTGCAGGGTGACCCCAACAGCCCCTCCGGTCCCAAGTGCCCCCCAAACTGACTCCCCTGCAGTGGCCCGTCCCTCTGACTGGACATTCTGTCACGGACTCACAGGACTTGTGGTCTCTCTCAGCTCCGTACGGTCCCTGGGAGGAACCCCCTTCAGTGCGACAGCCCTTCTCGGGGGTCCACTCTCTCTCGGGGCTTAAGCCGTAGGCCTCTCCACCTCCTGGAGACCCACCTCTCTGAGCCTTCAGCACGCCTGTCTCTCGCTGTGGGCCCCCGGGGCCTCCACACCCAGAGGGAATAATGCAACCCCCATCCCGAGACTGGAGTGAGACTCAGCCAGCGTAAAACAGGAGGGTTTATTGAGCATCTGAGCCCAGCACAGGAAACTCTCGGGGCCCTCAGGCCTGGCCTCCCTCAGCACAGCACATCTAGGTCTCTCCAGCCTCCAGGGGGACTCTGGCTGCTCTCTGCTCCCAGCCCAGAACCCCTGCCTCCCAGCTGGGCATCTGATATCACCATCCCCCAAGTCCTGCCTCTGTCCTTTGTCTTCTGTCCCAGGTAAACAGGCTGCCTGGGTCTCCTCTCCTCTCCTCCACCCTTTGTTTTCCCTCTGGCTGGAACCGGCTGGTCAGGTCACCGGGGTCCTCTCTCCTCAGCCCATTGTCCTTCCACTGGCCAGAACTAGCTGTGACTCCCAAGCGGGGCCTCCCAGTCACCAGGTCACCAGTCGCTGGGGTATCCATTTTCCAGGCGCTTTGCTGGCCCTCTGTAACAACAAACGCCCTCTCCCACCACCTTGTTAAACCAGTAACACCCAGGGAAACGGAGTCCCACGCCCTCTGCATGCAACCCATTGGAAACAAGAAAACTCCCTGCTTTGTCACACACTCACAGAGCTAATCCCAAGCTCGCTGCCTCCAAAGAGCCAGTGCACACACCAGCTTGGTAGCTCAGTTGGAGTTCCATGCTCAGCCTGGAGATGGCGTGTAATCAAACGAACACGTGTGTTAACAGAGACCCTAGAAGGAAGTGATTTCTGGCTACGAAAGGGTTACAAACAAAACAGAACAACACGCTTTCTAGGGTCTAAAACTGAATTCAGTAAGATGTAGCTTTGCCTAACATTGTTTCTTCCTTACCCCAAGTTGTCAGCATTCTCCAGTGTGACGGGCTTTTCCAGCCAGAACTCAGCTCTCACAGACTCCAAGGACTGGTTTCTTTGTTCCCTCAGGAGATGAATGACTTGAACGTCCCTTTGCCCCGGCTCCTATTACCCCATTGTCTCTGTTTCAAGAGCCAGGACGGCTTCTTGGGGTGCAGACTCCAGCCCCTGTCATGATCATTAAGCAGTCCTCTCCCCTACTTGCTCGCTTTGTTTACCTTCTATGTGAATGGTCAGACAAGTAAATCCCCCTTCCTTTTGTCTAGGGCGAGTTGGGCTTTCTGAACATATTCCCAGCCTGCATCGCTAACTCTTTGTACGCAGCCTGCCCATACATTGCGCAGGGATTATCAGGACCAGCGTGTCACCAGTCTGTGTATGAGACTTTACATGCCACCTTTTAGGTACAGTTGATGACGACAGTGCGCTGGGCAATGACTGGGTCAGGCCTGGTGTGCCC